CCGCGACCTACCCCCCCTCCCGCCCCGACGCTCTCCCCATCCATCCCGGCACCCCTCCGTCCCGGCACCCCGCCTTCACCCCGGCACCCCAGCTTCAGGGGATCGCACCCAGACCCTCTAAAGATTTTTCTTCCGTCTGGGGTAAAACGAATTATTGCCACAGAACCCCTGCGGAAGGTCGGTTAGTTAAAAAAATATTTTGAATACATCTCAAAGTTTGACTAACAGTAAAGATGTCTGTCGTGAATCAGCTGTTTTCTCTTTAAATCGCTCTCCTTTTTCCCACATTCAAATATCTGTGAAACATAATACTTATAAACACACTCTTACTAGTACTTTCTGCTTCAAGATATGGAGTATCTTTCACCTGTTTTAATTTTCGGTCAAGACCTAGGTAGGATGCATTTTTTGGTTTTAAAAAGGTTTATTAACACAGAATTTACAATGAGGTTTCTGTAGTCTGAGGCTCAGATTGTTTTCCTTTGCCTGGAACATTTATTTTGGAGGACCCACTGGCAGAACCTTACAGATAACTCTGCAAAGATAGCTGGCGTATTTTTCTCTTTCTGTGGAAAATAAATCTTTTAAGCAGCTGCCCGGATAACGGGAGTTAGAAAACAGTGCAGCACAGCCGATGCAACTGTTAAAACTTGTACTTCCTGACTTTAATTATCTACAAGACTTCTTGGCCTAATGAGGAGGAAGAAAAGGATTAGTTCCTTTTTTATTATTTACACAAAAATATAGGCAGTCCTCAATTAAAGCAATCGGAGTGTTCTTGCTTTCACATCTTTGATGCATCTGACAGCTCTACTACAAGTCAGGATAAACTTTATGGGAACAGCGGAGCATCAAAACATCTTTTTTTAATTGAAGTTATTTTTGTTGCAATGCCAGAAAAGTCAGTTGTCATAAAAAAAAATTAAATACTTCGAAAACTTAAGAATATTTATATTAATGCACTTTTAATTTGTGAAAAAATTTCACGTAAAATAAACACAGACAATGTAAAAAGGGCCTGCAAATGTCATAAACTAAAATGTTCGCAATTCTACCAAATCCACTACATTTTGGCTCCAAGAAAAGAGGTTTTTTTAAGAAGCCTTGCCAAAATAATCACAATTTCCTTACTTTGTGTCATTTCAACGGATCGTAAAAGCCCAGCTTGGTTTTAACAGATGTCATCGATACTTGGACTAAATTCTGTTCTCAGCTTCAGCAAGTAACTCCACCTTACGACAAAGTACCTGACATCAGAATTTATTCCTTAAAATTTCGTTACAGCCGTTGGATCTGTTACATTTTTCTTAACTGCCTATTAACTGAGCAGCCTGCACTGCTGCCAACCTGCCGGCTTGTATTATTGTAACTCGCTATCAGGAGTGATTCGGCTTTGATGGGGACTAACCATGTTTACACCATAATCAAGTTTACACCATTTAAACGGTCAATTTAATGCAGCTCGAAAAAGCACGGCCAGCGTCTCTCGTACTTGTCTCAGATCTTATGTTTGTCTCAGCTCTTTAGTGAAACTATATTCACTTGCAGCACAGGCTGGAATAATTATGACAATGTGTTAGATGTCTGATCCCGCCTGCTTCATAAAGGTCAACCCCAGCTGAATTACTTAGAGATCCGTTTATAGGACTGGGACGGTATAGACAAACAGGCGCACGAACACACAAACACGGAGCTTCTGAGAAACTGTAAGTCCTCTTGAAACGTAAGGACCGAAAGATTGCTGTATTTCCTACTCATTCACAATTCGTTTTCCTCTTATTTTGAAACACCAAGGGAACGTATTAGTATACAAATAGTTGGGGATTGGGACATGCGGTTTGTCTGGGATGTATT